GATCGATCGAAATGCAGCGAGTACCTTGTCTGGGGGGGGTGGGCGGGGATCCGGGAGGGGGGGTTCAAGACATTGTTGATGCCCCTTTTTTTTCTTGTTTATAGCGGCGTTTGGAGGCTCTACAGATTACAGAGCGTGCACGAGTTGCGTGGTGATAGAAGCGAACAAAAGATCAAAGTCATAATGGAACTCATCATACCTCCTGCTACTCTTTGCTTTTGGATTTGACGCTGTATCGTGTAACACATTTGAACTTGGAGCCCTCTAACCATGGCGCAACAAAATGGTACATCAAGAAGTCCAGTCCGCCTTCCCATCGAAATCCAACACTGGTGGGGGGGGAGAGCCATCCGACACCGAGAACAACGCTGCACTACGTGAAAGCCATGAAAATAAAATAAGAACGCAAAGCCTCTGGTTGCCCATCGATGGAACGGCCTGAACTACACCTCAATGGTAAAGTGGCTGATCTGCGAGTAATACGCATGCACCGCCAGCTCCAGGATCCAGACATCGCCAAACACCTCGCTGCCGTCGAAGCCTCCAATGGTGAACAGCCGACTATCATAAAGAACGGTGCCGTGGTAGCCGCGGCCGCTCGGCGGCAGGCCGTAGACGCGGCGGCGGTCCCACGACATGGTGACAAGGTTGAGGAGCAGCACGTCGTTGGCGTACTCGTTGCCGTCGTGGCCGCCAATGATGAAGAGGTAGGAGCCGACGAGCGTCGCCGTGTGGGACAGGCGGCGGTAGGTGACGGGTATGTCGACGAGGCGCCACGCCTGCGCGTCGACGTCGTACACCCAGACGTCGTTGAAGCACTCGCCGCCGTCCGAGCCGCCGTAGATGATGAGCTTGCTGCCGACCATGTTGGCCGTGTGGTAGCCGCGGGCCTTGGGGCGGGGCGGGGGGCGCCGACGCCGGCTTGTCCTTGTCGGGGCTCGACACGAGGCGCCACGACATCTTGTTCACGTCGCTGACGTCGAGGCGCCAAATGTCGTTGAGGGCGCGGACGCCGTCGCCGCCGCCAAAGATGTAGATGCCGTTCTTGTACAGGCAGGCCGTGTGCGCTCGGCGCTTGGACGGGACGCTGTCGCCGAGGATGCGCGGTCGCGACCAGCGAAAGGTCGTCGTGTCGAGCACATAGACGTCGTTGTAGTAGGCCGGGCCGTCGCCGCCGCCAAAGACGATGAGCTTCTTGCCGACAGCCGTCGCCGTCATGGCGCGCAGGGGCACGGGTATGTCGCCCACGACGTGGGGTGCAGACCAGTAGAACGCGTCGGCGTCGAAGACGTAGAGCTCGTTGAAGCAGGCTCGCGAGTCGCAACCGCCAAAGACGAAAATGTTGGACCCTACGAGGGTGGTCGTGTGCGCCCGCAGCGAGGTGTGCGGAGCGCCAGAGACGGGGGCTCGAGACCAGTACATGCCCGAGGCTGGCGCTGGGGGCACGTCGGGCGCCGTTTTGGGGTCCTGCAGAGGGGGAAAGGCCGTAAACTGGCCGCGCTGCGGAGGCGCTCGCGTGTGCGCGTGGACGCTGCTCGAGTGTACGGTGCTCGCGGTACGAGACGGTGTCGGGCCAGGTGTCGGCCTTCCGGCTATTGCCGACGTAGAACGCAGCGCCATGGGGCGGCGGGAGTCTCTGTCGCGACCATCAGCGCTCGTAGGAGCGGATTCAGCCTCGGCGGCATGTTTGCCCGGGGGCATGGACGGCGGCGGTTTCGGCGCGAGAGACGAGGTGCTTGTCGACGACAGAGGTGTTTTGGGCGCCTTGGACGAGCTGTGGAGAGACGCTTGGGAGGCGGATTGGGAGCGCTGTCGAATGGACAACTCGGAAGGCTTTCGTCTGCGGTCCTGGCTCTTGGTAGACAGGTGACCAGGGGTGTGGCTTCGGGGGACAGGAGGACGCTCGGGAACCTCGTCGTCCTCCTCTTCGTCTTCGTCGTCATCGTCGTCTTCTTCGGGTCTACCTTTGTCTTTCCTGTGCGGACGTGACTCGGTGGTCGTGGAGGGAGCAGTGATCTTCTGGGGACCGCACGACTTTGGAACGGGGCGCCGGAGACTTGGGGTTCTTGGTGTCGAAAGACCTGGTGGCCGAATCAGCCATGGCTCTGGCGTGGTATGGCTTGCCCTCGGGAGGGGGTAGAGCCGCTGCGCGGGTTATGACGATTGGAGGGGGAGGGGAACCGGGAGAGAAGGGGGAGAGAAGGAAGGAGCAAGGAGAAAGCTTGTCTCGTGAAGGCTGGAGGTGAAGGCTGGAGGTCAAGGCTGAAGGTGAAGGTTGCTGAGAGTCGGGAATCCCTCCCCCCACTTGCGATCTGGCTGGGGCGTTGGGCCGCCCTCACTGCGCCCGCCCGCCCCTGGACTGGCCTCGATGACATGCTGTAGCTAGCAGTGTCTCGTGTCTCGTGTCTCGGCTGGGGTCCTGCCAAGTGCGGGCCCTTGCATTGGCTGTCAGGCCTGGTTTTTCGGTTTTCGTTAATTGGTGTACTTCGATTGGACAAAATTCGTGATTGGTCAATATTCGCTCATCGAGACAGCCTCGTGAGAACCAAACGTGCATATTGTGTATGGGAGGTAATTCCTAACAAGCGACACTACTTGAATACATAGGATGGACGAAGGAGGGCACCCTGACGAGCCTGAGTAGGCCAGTGCCAGATAGGTTCCCAGCAAGAGGTAAACAGCACTGCGATCTCTGGTGGCATAAGCCCATCAAACCTTGTTCCCGAGCACAAATTTCAGTATATAATGAGCCTTTCATCTGGAAGGCTTATTCTGATGGCATTTGATATCGTGTTGTTGTTGGATCGTGTTCGACTCACTATCACCACCAACAACCTGCTCCTGGACCCGGTACAATATGGCTACACTCTCCAAAGACAGGATGCCAACGGTAGCAGAGGCCTATCCGGTGGCTGCCTTCTCCCACAGGATTTCGTCTGTACAGGACCATGCCAGCAGGGCTCGGAAGAGGCTGCACCGACTACTCCATACATTTGTGCTCCACGTCATGGAAGCCTACGACAATGCCGGTCGCGACGACGGGAAGAGGCGGGCCAAGACACGAAAGTGCCTGTCGTCCGGGCTACGTTCTGCCGCCCCCATCCTTCGATCCACGTGCATGAGCGATATGATTCTCGATTGGCCAATGTCAAGACAAAAGCTTATATCGGACGATGTGTACAGGTTCTTTGCAAAGCACAATGTCACCCTGCCCATCTTTGCATACCATCCTCGGGCGTCTCTCCTCCAAGCGCCAGGTCCCTCTCGGAACCGACTGAAGAGCTGGGGTCGTAACGCGCGGGGTGGATCGACTGCCACGTTTCCTGCCGCTTCTGAAGACAACCGTATCCGTCAAGGCCAGGGTCAGGGCCAGGGCCCGTCGTACTACTACGACGTACACGTCTACGATCACGGCGACGCGCTGGCAGCGGCCTGAAAGGCATCGTCTCCGCCGTCCCGGGGGGGGACGGAACGCCCTCGTCCTCTGGACGGACGCCTCGCTCTCCTACTTGAGGCGGAGCTCCCAGCTCGCCGCCGCCGCCGCCGTCGTCTTCCGACCGTGGCACCCCTCCACGACGGCCCCCGAGTGGACGCAGCACGCCTTCGGCATCGCGGGCCACGACAACAGCGTCCGAGCCTGCGAGCTCGTCGCCATCGAACAGGCGCTCGCCGTCGCCGCCAGGGAGTGGGACGCGCTGCGCTACGACCAGGCCGCGTGCGGCGAGCGGCAGGACGACGCCGACGCGTCGCCTTTCGACGCCGTCAGGATCTTCTCCGACTGCGAGGCCGCGCTGGTCTACCTTGTCTACGGATGCGGCGGCGACGGGTCATCGCTGGCGGCGCGGCTGCGGCAGGGCATCGACGCGCTGGTGGACGCGCTGGGCGCGAGGGGCGTCGAGGTCGAGATGAACTGGACGCCGGCCCACGCGGGCGTGGCGGGGAACACGCAGGCCGACATGGTTGCGCGAGCCACGAGGGTGAGGCTGCCGGGGCCTGCGCGGGCGGCGTCGGGGGACGGTAGGTTGAGGGTGTGGGAGGTGGACGTCGAGCTCCGGGACGATGACCTAGCGGCGCAGAGAGCCGTAGAGCGCGGGTTGCGGGGTGTTCGTCCCTTCTCGACGTAACGGCAAATCAGTGCGACGGCGTTGCATGGCTCCGATATACACAGATTTCGAGGCACAAAGCACGTGGACATTGGAGGTTTCATTCATGCGCATGTGCTCCCCCTCCCCGAAAGCTTCTGGGCGGGACCCCTGTTCCTCGGACCGCTATGCAATCAGTCGTCGATACCACCCCATTCGCCCTCCCCGCCAGCCTTCTTCTTCTCCTGCTTC